AATCACCTTTTTACCCTTCAATTTCCCTTTGTAATTTCACTCCTGCATTTGGTAGTGAGGGACAAAATGGTTATTTACATATTAAAGCATTCTTTCTTCTTTTCTTTAGTTGGCTTTTTTTTTTTTTTTTGGTTTCCCGTCCGATATCCGGGGCTTCGCTCTGATTAATCCGGACCCGACCCGCGTCACGCACCTAGAAATGGTGGGTGAGTTTCTCAGCGAGGGCTGCTGCGTGCACAAGATTTCAAACTCGAGACTTTACTTAAGTTGAAACAAACCACTTACCACTTGATCCAACCTCTCATTGGATCTTTAGCTGGCATTTAGCCATTTAGGGTTCTGTGTTTCAGATTTTGCCCTTTTCCGCATTACACAGGTCATTGCTTCTTCCACAAAGAATATACCAGCTATTGTTAGCTATAATTTCATTTGATTTTTGTACTCCACGGAATTAGTGGGCAGTTCATTTTATTTTTTTTTATTGTTTTTTATTTTAATTATGTATTTTTTTAAACAATATAAAAAGTATAAAAATAAAATATATTACAACCTAAAATTAATTAATCTAAAATTATATAAAATTTTATATATGTTATTTTATTTATATATATATAAAATAATGTAAGATAAATGCTTTGCAATCGAGAGAGAGAAATTATGCACTATCTTTGAGTGCTTTATTTTAAAAAAATTTACTAATTGACTTAAATTTCTCAACAAACCACGAAGTGCGGTTACTAGTTAAATATAAATTTTGTACTTTTATAATGTTAAATAATTAACATTTTAATATATTAAAAAATGTTTGTTTTTCTTGATATCCTTATCTCCCTCCGACAGGGTTGACCCATCTGCAACGCATCATTATATTTGTGAACTTGCTTTCTCACCTTGAAATGAATAAATTAATGAGCAAATTCAGGTTTATCTATTATGATCCAAATTATTATAAATTTAGACAACGAATAAGCTTTCAAAATGTGATTTTTCTTGGACAAAATGTACAGTAACAGAAAAGACAAAAAGAAAAGGTAAGAGCCACTCACTGTAAAAGATGGTACGTAGTATAAAAAGCCAATGGTAAATCAATTTGAATCTCTACCGTCGATTTAGGAAACAAGTTGATCCAAGCCAATAATTGTACTTTTCTGATTTTTGCTTTTTCGCTTTTTGACTGATTAGGTCTAAAGCAATTCCACTACCTCCATTCCTTTCCCACGTGATCGACTGATGAAAATAATTGCTCCCCCGTTCAATTATTCAATTTTATTGGGCTAATTTTTTTATTAGATGTATTTAAATTTAATTAATTATTTGGAAGATATTATTAAATATATTAATTTTTAATTTATTTTTTAAAATAATTATCGTGACTTTATAGTATGATTATAGTTAATGGATAGTTATAAGTTTAAAGTATGAAAAAATTTAAAGTACTGGTATTTTTCAAGAATAAAATTTTAAAAAATAATAACTAACTTGGGATAAATTTTGAGAAAAAAAAAAGGATAATGTGTTGGAAAGAGGGAGTGCTCTAAAAGAAATTATAATATTTTTAAAACACTTAGAGCAA